CTTTCTAGTCTCGTGAAATTTCCAGCACAACCTTTAAGCTCCATTCTCTTAAAAAGCCTTAATTTTCCAAATGTAAAATTGAAGGCCCAGTGGCACCAATGAGCAACTTTCAGCTTTCAGTGTGGTTCTGAGCAATAGATCATCAGAGAAATGATGCCCAGATGATGTATTGCACTCATACATCATACCCGCACTATCATTTTCATGATATATTAGTATAATAAACTATCAGTACACTATCACTGATGTATTACTCAAAAAACAGGTTTTAACCTACAAAAAGCATCTTCAGCTGTAACCTGATTATTATTTTTCTCCATAGTTTTCAGCATAAACAATAGGGTATTCCTCAGCTTTCTCTAGGGCAGTCTAGGAAAAAAGGGAGAGGTATTCAGACTACCTTGTTAACTGAAACTTTTTCTGTAACTTCTCTCTATTCCAGTGAGCAAAGGCTTCTTATGGACTAAAGCTAACACCATATCGCAGTGTGTAAATTTCCTACCAAACAAATAGGCAAAACTATTTTGATTTTGGGCTTCAATCTACACTTGAGCCATGTGTTCTAAAAATCTTGCCGCAGTTCATCACTGGGGGTTGATTTGCAACTCAGCAAGTGATACCGGGGCAAAATCCGTATAATGCTTTGCACAAAGTACTCAGGGCTGTTTCTGGTGCCCCTAGCTCGGCCGTATCTAGGCACTGCGTATGAGGATTTGTATCATAGAATCATAGAATAACAGAGTTGGAAGGGACCTCTGGAGGCCATCTAGTTCAACCCCCTGCCCAAAGCAGGACCAATCCCAACTAAATCATCCCAGTCAGGGCTTTGTCAAGCCTGACCTTAAAAACTTCTAGGGAAGGAGATTCCACCACCTCCCTAGGTAACACATTCCAGTGTTTCACCACCCTCCTAGTGAAAAAGTTTTTCCTAATATCCAACCTAAACCTCCCCCACTGCAACTTGAGACCATTACTCCTTGTCCTATCATCTGCTATCACTGAGAATAGTCTAGATCCATCCTCTTTGGATCCACCTTTCAGGTAGTTAAAAGCAGCTATCAAATCCCCCCTCATTCTTCTCTTCCGTAGACTAAACAATCCCAGTTCCCTCAGCCTCTCCTCATAAGCCATGTGTTCCAGTCTCCTAATCATTTTTGTTGCCCTTCGCTGGACTCTCTCCAATTTCTCCACATCCTTCTTGTAACGTGGGGCCCAAAACTGGACACAGTACTCCAGATGAGGCCTAACCAATGTCGAATAGAGGGGAACAATCACGTCCCTCGATCTGCTGGCAATGCCCCTACTTATACACCCCAAAATGCCATTGGCCTTCTTGGCAACAAGGGCACACTGTTGACTCATATCCAGCTTCTCGTCCACTGTAACCCCTAGGTCCTTTTCTGCAGAACTGCTGCCGAGCCATTCGGTCCCTAGTCTGTAGCGGTGCGTGGGATTCTTTCATCCTAAGTGCAGGACTCTGCACTTGTCCTTGTTGAACCTCATCAGATTTCTTTTGGCCCAATCTTCCAATTTGTCTAGGTCCCTCTGTATCCTATCCCTACCCTCCAGTGTATCTACCTCTCTTCCCAGTTTAGTGTTGTCTGCAAACTTGCTGAGGGTGCAATCCACACCATCCTCCAGATCATTAATGAAGATATTGAACAAAACCGGCCCCAGGACCGACCCTTGGGGCACTCCGCTAGATACCGGCTGCCAACTAGACATGGAGCCATTGATCACTACCCGTTGAGCCCGACAATCTAGCCAACTTTCTACTCACCTTGTAGTGCATCCATCCAGCCCATACTTCTTTAACTTGCTGACAAGAATACTCTGGGAGACCGTGTCAAAAGCTTTGCTAAAGTCAAGGAATAACACGTCCACTGCTTTCCCTTCATCCACAGAACCAGTTATCTCATCATAGAAGGCAATTAGATTAGTCAGGCATGACTTTCCCTTGGTGAATCCATGCTGACTATTCCTGATCACTTTCCTCTCATGTAAGTGCTTCAGAATTGATTCCTTGAGGACTTGCTCCATGATTTTTCCGGGGACTGAGGTGAGGCTGACCGGCCTATAGTTCCCAGGATCATCCTTCTTCTCTTTTTTAAAGATGGGCACTACGTTAGCCTTTTTCCAATCTTCCAGGACTTCCCCCGATCGCCATGAGTTTTCAAAGATAATGGCCAATGGCTCTGCAATCACATCCGCCAATTCCTTTAGCACTCTTGGATGCAACACATCCGGTCCCATGGACTTGTGCACATCCAGTTTTTCTAAATAGTCCCGAACCACTTCTTCCTTCACAGAGGGCTGGCCACCTCCTCCCCATGCTGTGCTGCCCAGTGCAGTAGTCTGGGAGCTGACCTTGTTCGTGAAGACAGAGGCAAAAAAAGCATTGAGTACATTAGTTTTTTCCACATCCTCTGTCACTAGGTTGCCTCCCTCATTTAGTAAGGGGCACACATTTTCATTGGCTTTCTTCTTATTGCCAACATACCTGAAGAAACCCTTCTTGTTACTCTTAACATCCCTCGCTAGCTGCAACTCCAGGTGTGATTTAACCTTCCTGATTCCATTCCTACATGCCCGAGCAATATTTATATACTCATCCCTGGTCATTTGTCCGATCTTCCACTTCTTGTAAGCCTCTTTTTTGTGTTTAAGACCAGCAAGGATTTCACTGTTAAGCCAAGCTGGTCGCCTGCCATATTTACTATTCTTTCTACACATCGGGATGGTTGTAGTTGGTTGTAGACTCATAGAAGTTTAGGGTTGGAAGAGACCTTGGGAGGTCATCTAATCCAACCCTCTGCTCAAAGCAGGACCAATCCCCAACTAAATCCTAGTCCAGCTAGGACCCTTTGCTGTCCCTCCCCAATGACAAATACAGGAACGGGTTACAAAAAGAGAGAGAGAGAGCAGGGAAAAGAGAAAGAAAAGCCATTTTGTAGCCCCCTCCATCATGGAAAAGCCCATGCAAATGGGAGTTTGGCCTGATGCTCTTCATGTGGCTTCCCTGCTGGCAGGGGAGCCCACAGAGGGTGGCTCCCTGCTGGGAATGGCTGTCTCCAGCTCCTGAATCTCCCTTTGTACAAGTCACAGGAATTTCCCTGGGACAGCTGCTGCTGCAGTCAATGGGGCTGAATCCAAGATGGAGTTGGGCCAGACTGACTGACATGACGTGCCTAATGCTATGTAGGGAGTCAGGGAGAGAAGTGAGTTTCTAACTGACTGCAGAGAAGTTACACCAGGGAGGAGTGTGGGTCTCTGCATCCGAGTGTCCCCACTGTGAACGGATAACGATACTTAGCTACCTGCTGGACTGGGGGAGAGGAGAGGAACTGTTAAAGGCTCAAATTGGAAAGCGTTATATAAATGCTCAATATTCCATGGCTGTGATAGAATTTCCAGTATAGGCTCAGATGGGTGCCGTGGAGATATCTGAGAGAGAGATTGTGAGGTTTCCTGCTGTGGCCACAGATGGACAGGCTGCTGCAGCTGGACTTTAATTCTTTCTCTCTCTGTCCCCCGGCCCTTCCCCCCCCACACTCACATTCTCTAGCTCTCTCATCGAGAGGCATATTTGAACTTTGGGACTTAGTACTGGTGCAAACAAATAGGTAATTAGCAGTATCTGTGATAGGCTTCCTGATTGAATTTAGAGCCAGCTGGCAAAAGGCTTTCAATCCTGTAGGAGTTTCTCTCAGTTGGTCTGCATATGCATTCACCTTAGCACTTCTTCTTGGATGCAGAAATACACTGTGGTAGCCTGGCTTGCTCTTTGCCAGTCTATTCATGCACAAGGTTAGTCTTAAGCTCTCCACAAGCTCAGGTGTGAGATTCTTAGCAGTAATAATTATTAAATGATGGGGGTTCACTTTGAATTTTATCCCCTTGTTTTCATTATTTGAAATGATTTATTTACCCATCTTTCCCTGGAGTTCATGATCAAATACAGCCCCTCTCTCTCCATAGTACAACAGGGCCAATCTTAGTCGAGCAGTTGATGTCAACAATACCTCACACCTCTTGGAGGCAGCTAATGCAACTGCATCCAGGAAGAGACGCTTTTGTGGGAGGGTGGTGCTCTTGCAGCTATCAACACCGAGGTTCTGCCAAATATGGAGGGAGCTTTAGGGCCCAATCCCATGTCCATTGAAGACAATGGAAAGACTCCCATTGACATCATTCATTTCCACCAGTTTTGCAGAGGACTGTTGCGCTCTGTGACTGCTCTGGCCAAACGCCCTTTCGGGCTATGCTCCTCCCTTAACTCTTCGTCCTCATAAGGGTTGTGAGCACTTTGCACTCCCAGAACCTGGACACCCAGTGGGTTTTATGCCACCAGGGCCCTCCATCACAGATTGTACCAGCGACGTTCAGGTTCCACTTTCTTGGAAGATGATGTAAAAGCAAAACTTTTACGTGTCTTTTTCAGCCTTGCAAAGTACATGCTGTTAGGCATTCTGTACATCGCCATGTGTCCTCCCCATAATACCACTGCTACCTGAACAGCTGAGTCTGAGGAGAATTTCCTTTATCCCATAGTCTTCTCAGAATACTGCTGAGCCAATACTGTGTAACCCTGCCCCTGCAGCCCCCCGGCTTACACCTGCTGTCTACCTTCTACTGCAATCCGAAGTTGGCAAATTCTTATTCCTGTCAGTTTCAATGTCACAACAGTCAGCTTTAAAATATGCTGTCATTTCAGAGCGCTGGCTAAATACAACTCAGACTGACAACTCTGAATAATTCCTAAACTTTCTGGCATTTCACTCAAATGCTCATATTACAGCAAAGTTGCTTTCTCATGTTTTTCATCTTATGCAGTCTCTGAAGATTTGCAATACAGTTATAGAACAGGTTAACATTTTTTTGACTCTGAAAATAATACAGTGGGAGCCAGTGTGTAGTAATAGGATGTCAGGAAAACATCACTGTCAGCCTACAAAAATTATCTAGATAATCACCATTGTTTGTTGTTTTTGAATTTTCAGCACGTTCATGTCCATGTTCTTCCAAGGAAGGTTGGAGACTTCAGCAGAAATGACAGTGTCTACGATGAGGTAGGTCTCATAGATCTTATTGTTAGATCAAAGTGGGTGTCAGCTTAATCAACTTAATGAGCCAGGTCTTGCCCTAGATAAACTGGCAGTATTTAAAGTGAACTCCACCAAATTTGACTTTTTTAAACTGCTGGCAAAGAATCTGGCAATTACGGAACACCAGGCAGGATAGTGTATGGATTTGCAAGCGAAGGATCAAATTATGCAATGCATAAGGCTGTAAAGAAGTGTTGGGCGACCCGTCAAGCTCATGTGCGCTACCCTTGCTGTGAGTAGTTGTACAGGGGAAGACACAGTCTCATGTTCTGTCCCCCATGCATGCAAGCAGGAGTGGGAAGGTCGGGGTGGGGGAATGGGCAGAGTTTTGCACCATGCCCCAACACGGGGTCAGCATAGCTGCGCCAACACTGTGAGGAAAATACCTTTTGCTCGCCATAGACCTGGTGCAGGGTACTTCCCCCTCAGAGCAAAGAGAAACCCTGGCGGCTGATTACCAATCTCAGAGTCACTGTCTGCCTCCTGGCCTGCTCCAGGGGCCGCACAACAAAGCAACACCCTTTGCTCGGGGCTTGTGGCAAGCTCATAGTTCAGCCCCAGGGATCAAAATTAATCAGAATAGATGTGTGTGTCTTTGATATACGTATGCATGTGGCTCCGATTGCAGGATTGGAGCCATAATCAATTACATTTTTACGTAATCCCTGTGTTTTTTTTAAAGAACATTTGTACTAGGCATTACTACTTTCCCAGCTGATAACAATCTGAATGAGTTAAATGAAAATTGTAATCAACGCACTTTTGTGTATGTTTCTTGGTTGCTTGGTAAGAGATTGCATCTTAAATATACAAACTGTATTCCTTCCTGGAAATTATTAATGCCAACTTTTTTCAGCACCATGCCATCTGTTTTAGGATGAATTCATGATATTTTTCTGCTGTTGCACTTTTTTTCCTTTTGTGATGTGCCTATGCTGATGCTTCCCTATAGAATGTTATTTACACGATGAAAAATGTGATGCCATGTTTTGGATCCTCTCTAAATGTTATGGCTAGGTACGATGATTATGGCAGCTTGGACAATAATGTGTATGTGAGAGTTATGGGGTAGATGGGGGCTCTGACCCTGGAAAACACATGTAACCAACAATGCACAAGTAGACCAAATGAGTTCATTATGGCAGTACTTGTGTACCGCTGTGATTAAAGGAATATCAGCAAACTTGAAATCTAATCCATATTTTTAAAAGGTGTTAAAAATAGTTTTAGATACTACACCAGTCCCTAAGTTCCTCTGCCTTTTTTTAGTTTTGTTTTACAATGACATTTTCCAGTTTTTAAAAATAAAACCCACACAAGCAGGTAAAGCTTAGGGTATGTCTACACTACCTGCCGGGTCGGCGGGTAGTGATCCATCTATCAGGGATCAATTTATCGCCTCTAGTAGGATCTTCCACATGTGTAGATCTTTGACAGGTCAGCAGATCACTATGTATTGGCAGGCTGCAGCTCTGTAACAGATAGACTGCTAACTGGGGAGATAAGGCTCTTGGAGTGTTCTTCAGATCCCAACTCCTCTGGAACATAGTCTGAGGTCAATCAATAGCTTGGTTGTAAGTGTGGTTTAGTTTACCTATGGGAGGCTGATAAATGTAGCTATATTTTGGATTGCAAACATAGACAGTATTCTGTAATTGCCCCAAGGCCCCATTCACATCTAGCCTGTGTATACATGCTGCTCAGCCTACTTATCACAATCCAACAAAGCATTTTGGCAGGGACATCTCATTAAAGTGTACACCAAACCCAGCCATAGTGCAAGATAAGCAAATGCTCTGTAACTATTGTGTAGGATTCTCCGCAAAGTCCTGCTCACAGCTTTGGTTCAACACAAGCTAACGTAAGTCTCCAAAGTACCTTTAACTGGTTTAGAGCCTTCCAGACGGTGACACGTTGTCATCTGTTTATGCTCAGTAGATTGCTGGCAAGTCCCATAACACTCTTCCCTCTTTGACAATTGAAGAACGTGCCCAGATGTTGAGGCATCAGTCTCTAGGATTTCTGGAGACAAGATGTTGGAAAGGAGCTGCATCCTCTTGATGTCTCCCCCTCCTCTCCCCAGTTGGCTTGGGAATGAATATCTCTGTTGTTGAGTAACGGTTTGAGCAGAGGAATGGGAATCAGGACTTCAATAGGTTGAGCTCCATTAGGTAAATCTTATTTATCCTGCATTTGGGTGTGAGGCTCAGCGATTCCGTCTCCTGACAGTATTTTAAGGTATAAGGGGAATATTTAAAGGTAACAGATAATGTGTCTGTGACAGATGCAATTCCCTGTACTTTGGGAGATCTCACTGAATTAGGTTTAAGTATCTTTGGAGTCCAGTGTATTAAATGCAAAGGTTCTGTAATATTGTGGGTCTGGGTGATCAAAGAACTATATTGGACAATGTGGCAGACAATGAACTGTTGGGACAATAGTGTGAAGTGGAATTCCTGGGAAATAGCTAGGAAAAGGTAAATGCAGTCTCTCCCCCCCACCGCCAGCCTCTGGTTATGCAAAAACCCAGCACTTTGAAGCTACGCCCTGAAGGAAGGACAATTGTTTGCTGATTACCTGTTCCCAGTGCCCCAAGATCAAAGGGCCAAACTGTATAAAGGAGGGACTCTCAGATTTACGCAGGTGGCCGTTCTGAGCTAACAATTGTTATGAGCTTGTAACCACAGAAAACTGTTGGTGGGTCGAAGGACGGATCACCTGCCAAAGCCACGCCTGGAGCTGGGGATGCGGGGACCTGTGGCAAGCTATTAGCATGCATACAGTATGTATTAGCATGCAGTATGTTTTCTCCTGAATGCTTTTATCTTCAGAATAAATGTGCTTGCTTAGAAAGAATTGTGTGGTGGATTAACTGTGGGCAATTACACTGTTTATAGCCTCTGAGAAGAAAGCAATGCAGGCCCACTAACTTACTGTGGAACACACAGTGAAGGCAGGGAACTGTGCAGCCTGGAAATACTGCAGTCAGGAGGTAGAGAGAGATGTGTGTCTCTACCCAAGAGGGGGGATGGCTGAGGAGCTCGGAGCCTAGAGTGGATGCCCTGGCTTGTCCATGGAGGGAGAATACAGGTGCAGTTGCCCTGAATTGTAACAAGTCTTTATTGCTTGGTATGTTTTTTGGGATTGACCAATAGGCTGTGTTGGATGAAGCCTCTTGTTCTGGTTGCACATTTACACTTTCTTTATGATTCAGTGTTGGAAAACTTAATCACAAAAGAAGAGAAAGAAAAACATCCAATGCCCAAATGCCTTTCCTGACATGTTTCCTCCAATAAGTCACTTGAATTAGGCGTATATATCTCAGTGCATTCTTCAGAAGCCACTGTTTGATTTCTTTTAAATATTTATAGAATCATTAGTAATGAAAAAACCTACTAGATTTGGACCATTTTGGCTGAGGAATACACTTTCCCTCTGTCTCTGCAGTGAGACTCCCTGGGATTTGTTTATTTCTTGGGGACTGCTAATGAACGAGTCCCCAACATGCCACTTTGTCACAGTGAAGAGTAAAGGCATGTTTTTTTAATCCTCCCATCTTCCTGAAATTATTTGGAGCCCAACCCTGCAGACAACTTACACATGACTGTTAAGTTTCTTTCCTAAAGCAATTACAGGATCAGGCCCTTTATATTTTACTCTTGGTTTATAGCCATTTCATATCAATCTTGAGGCATTCTGATCCATGAATTCTGTTTGTTTCTTGAAGATTGGAACTTCAGTGGAAGATCTGGATGGCTATTAGGAAAAGGCTTTAATCAAAACACATGCATATTGTCACCTGTATTTCTTTCATTTGGTTTAAAAGAGAATGAGATCTTTATATTTAACCATCAAGGAATTTAAGGGAGTTAAATATCTGCTTTACAATAGAGGATTGGTTCTTTTCTGCTGTGAAAGTATGACACAAAAGATTGATTCAGTTGTGCATCAATGGATATACTCTACCAAAGAGCTACATTCTGTGTTGATTTAATGAGCGTGAGCACTATGTAACTATCAGAGGTGACTATATTAAAGACCTTGAAGACATTATCCTGAAATGTCTCTCCACTCTCAGAGCACCTCGGTTAAGGAGCACTATGTGTTTGTATAACCTCTAACACAGTGGAGCCCTGATCTCAGTGGAAGCCACTAGCTGTTACTATAATAAAAATAATGATCATCCTGCCTTAGGTGGAGGGTGATAACACTCTTACTGCGGTGGGTGTGGGGCTCTCCAGTGCTGTGCATAGAGAACAGAAAAAAACAGGCTTGTGTTACCATCATTATTAATGAATGTCGAGGTTGGCTTGACAGCCTTGGCGACTGGAGACATGCCAGCATTGTCCATTCAATGGGTGACTCAGCCTATTTTGAAGGCGACCTCTCTAGAGGAGTGAATGAAACTCAGTCTACCTGTCAATGAGATCCTCAGTATCTACCAGTGCTGCTAGAAATGGTGTCATTTAGCACCTATGATGTGTTTGGGGATGAAGAACCCTGTGTACTCTCACTCTATCCTCAGTAACTGGACTGAGACCACCATCTTATTTCCATAAACAGTTACTACCAATGCAAACCATATTCAGAGCAGTTAATTTCAGGTGAAAGGCTCTGTGTCTGTAACCGGACTTACTCTCCCCCATTCCCAAGTTTCTAGTCTCTGTCTAGATAGAAGCTCCTTGCCTAGATTGGTGAGAAATGCAAACATGATGGGAAAAGGGGAACGCAAAAACGAGAGCGCCACTGAGACTCCAATCCCCAGACGCTCTTCGGGATCAAATACACCTAAGTTAAAGGGCTGGGCTGGTGCTGCTGCTGAGCCTGCTGCATTGTACCTCATCCAAACTAAAGTCTGAATTAGTCCATGACTTGGAGATTTTGTAAAATGCTTAAAGCAGCAGCAGTATTCCGGCTGCACCATCTGTTGTTCTCCTCCCCCTGATATTCAGACCGACAGCAAG